ACTCCATGAAACAGTAAGGCAAGAAGCAGTGAAGCAGCAGCAGCAAGCCTTCCTTTTCCTTTTACCTCACCCAGGCTCCAAACCTCTTGGGTGGTGCCACTCAAACTCAGGAAGGGCCTTCCCATTATCCAAACCCAGAACTATGCTAAACTAATCAGTGGACTAATTCAGTTATCACACACTCTTCACACACCCTAGGTCCAGCCACCACTGAAAAGGCCCACCTATAAACACATGAGGTTTTGAGGGGACATCTAGAGGCAAACTGTAATATTTCACTCCTGGTCCTCAGACGACTCATATGCATCCTTTTATGCAAAATAACAGAATGTCAAAATTCTCTTCTGAGATTTAAGGCAAACTCTTACATGTGAGCCCCTGTAAAGATGAAATAAAGTTAAACATGTCCAATATACAATGGCACAGGATAAACATTCCCATTCCAAATAGGGGGATAAAAAGGAATGGAACCAAAACAAGACCAAAAACATTTCCATGTTCAGCATGTGATACAATCTGTGGCAAGAAGTGAACTCTAAAGAGCTAATATGGCACTTTCCTTATGGTGCAGCCAGTGGCTTTGGCTCTTACACCTTCTCTCTTGGGTTGACTTTCCTCAGATTATCCATGCTCCTGGCTACTGCAATATTATAGGGTCTCCACTGCACTTTTGGCTTCACAGTCACAGTTTCACACACTACCTGTCAGGTGCTACAGTGCCTGATCTCCCTGGCCTTCTTCTGAAATCTAGGTGGAAGCTTTCCTGACTCCACAACTCTCACACTCTGCATGTGTAAAAACCAGCACCATGAGGATGATGCCAAGGTCTGTTGCCAACTGGAACAGTAGGTGGCTTTCCTTCTCTCTTGGCTGTAGAGATCAAGTGCCTCGATTTCTAAGTGTTATTAACCTAAACCCAAGGAAAAAATTCCCTAGGCTACTACCATTCTAGAGCACAGCGCTCTGGGGCTCTTCTCAGAGGAAAGTCTTTCACCTTTGCAATTTTGAGTATGCAAAGGGTGGAGTCCTGCTGGTGTCTTTGATGCTCTCAGTCCATCTTTTCTATTGTTTTCTTCTAAAATGCATGACTTTTCAGCAACCAAGCTATACTTTGTTCCATCTTTGCAGCCACAACTTTTCTGGAGCTTCCTTTCTAGCCAAACTCAAAATTTTAAAATTATTCTGCTGGGCCCTTTGCTCTTGATTCTCAACATCAATCTGACTAAAAGCCCTCAATAGTAGCCATGCCACCACATCAACATTAGATTACTTTGAAATTTCTTTCACCAGATTAATTAGTTTGCCCCACTTAATCTAAGTCTTCTATAAAGTCTGTAGATGGGAACAAAATGCAGTTAAAATTTCTGCCAGAACATAACACATACATCAGGAGTCCAACTGCCAGTGGAGTTCTTCTTTCCAGGTGAAACCTTTGAGCTTGGTCTTTTCCAGCTGCATACCAATCAATATCTTGCTTTTCTGAGGTCCCACTGGAATCTACCATCAAGCTCAGCTCACAAAAATCCAGGATTGCATCTCCAATTGGCATTGCCAAGTCTTACCAAACTCATCTGGCAAGCCAATTCCAAAGTTTTCTAGGCCACATACTCAGTGAACGTCATAGCAAGAACCCTACTATGAATAACAAAATCTGTCTCAGTTACTGTCTTGTTGCTGGGACAAAATAGCCAACATTCACAGCTCAAATGGGAAAGATTCATTTTAGCTCATAATGATAGAGATTTCAGTCCATAGCTAGCTGGCTGCAGAGCAGGGCAGCATTGCAAAGGTGCTTGCCAGAGGAGAAATGTTACATGGAATGTGAAGCAGGAAACAGCAAAGCAGCACTGGGGAGCCTTTCTTTCCCTTTCATCCCATCAAGGCTACAAGCCTACTACTGGTTTGGTGCCACCCACATCCACTGTGGGTCTTCCCATTATGCGCAAACAGAACTATGCTGAAACAATCAGTGGAGCAATCACACACCCTTATCCATTTGCACATGCCTGAGATCCAGCCACCACCATCAAGCCCCACCTATCAGTGCCTGAAACTTTGAGGGGACATCTAGGTATAAGCCACAACAGTATTTTAACAAGTTATACTTTATCTTCAGGGAGACAAAGAGGCCCCAACTTATACCGGGATTATGTAAGTAAGACATATATTTTTAACTTTCTTGTTTCCAAAAAGAGCTTTTTTGTTATCTTATTTAAAACTTTTCACAGGAAAGTTAACGTATGCCAATGGTACTCAAATTGGGAGGGGCCAATTTCACCATCAGGAGATATATTTCCATATCTGGAGATATTTGTGATTCTCATAACTGGAAGTTGCTTCTGGCATCTTGTAGGGAGTGGTCAGGTATGCTGCTCAATATTCTATTAGACGCAAATTGGACCCCACAGCAGAGAATTTCTAACCAAAAATTCCAATCATGTCAAGCTGAAGATCAAGAACTTAGATGAACCATTTATTTAGAGATGAATAACTAAACTTCAAAGAAGGGCAGCGATGTGTGCCAAGCTACACCATGAATGAAGAGAAGAGAAAAGTCTTCATGTATTTTCCCATCACCCTCCTTCACTTCTAAGCACTAACGTTCTATAACAGAATTGTTGGAAAATAGTTTATTATGCACATATTTCAACTTTGAATTACTAAATAATTACACAAAACTTTAAGGCAGTACTGCTAACATCAGAATATGTAGGCAATGAGGAAAATAGAGAATTTAATTATGCAATGCATATGTATGTGTAATAGAAAACTGTTCTCATGATATTTAACTAACTACTGCCTAGTACAGTGGCTTTCTAACTTTAGTGAATCTCATAATCACCTGGAAGGTTTCTAAGAACACAAATTATTAAAAGCTACTTTTAGAGGTTTTGGCTCAGTGAGGTTGGAGTACCTGAAATCTGCACTCAACAGGCGTACAAGTAGTGCTGGTGCTGTGCGGCTGGTCAGGGTAGCACATTTTGAGAAGCACTGGCCCAGCCTTTGCTAGGCACTTAGTAAATACTGACCTAATATTACAGACATTTAAAACTATAATCTCACCAATTAACATCAGTTCATTGTGGTATAGATTAGTAATACTAATCCCTACGGAGGAACACAGTTAGATAAATGGCAGAAATGAGACAAAGTTATGCCTCAATTCAAATTCTTTGATTTAAAAATAAAGAAATCAATATATTTTAAGCTTATTACAGGAAAGACTATCTCTTTTTAATAAAAGCCAATAGAAACAACATTAAATATCAATCATGTATACACAATTTAGGTAATGACTGTGCTATCTTAAATATGCAAACGCTTAAAGGTTATAAGTACAATTATGTATGCCTCAATTTTAATATTATATTTTTGAAGACTAGTCCAAATGCCAAACTGATAAACGCTGATATGGTGGGGCTCTTGTGCCAAGCTACATCCATGGGGAAAAGCCTATTGACATCAGTAATATAAAATCAGGCCCTACGGGATCATAACTGTCTCTTCAAATTGTTAGGGATAGCACGTACATTTTTAAGTAATTCAATACGGTGTAAAAGTAGTATATTGTCATCATAAGTAATAAGTGTGCTGCTGTTAAGTATGGTTAATAGAGTGAAAAGCACTCCTAAGGAAAATGAGAGTAACACTCTCTTTCACGCCTTTAACTTAACTTTTAGAATGCCAGAAATTTCATACACTTTAAAACTACTTGTATACCTGGGGAAAGTTCTGCAATTAACCTGCTTCATGCCAGTCCTCACTTACAAACACCCAAGCCAGGGGCTGATAATCAACATTCCATTCAGCTCTTTGAGATCATGTAGACATTTACACAGCCTTCAATTCCCTCACTTGTGGTATCTCGTCCAAGGCATGAAATTCCCTTGCCAAGGGCACATAGGAAGCCAAATGCTCTCAAATATGCCGCATTTGCCTTCAACTTTAAAAATATCCATCTATCTTTTAAATTAGGTGCCATCTGTTGTATCATCTCTGGCTACTTCATATTAAAATTTCTTGCCAGGATCACACTGCTGCAGCATTCTTGTCCTGCTACTTTTTCAGGCTTTCTGCAGCATTCAAGAAGAACCTGCTATTTTAACTAACTTCTCTAATAGGGCACAGTGTGAGGGTCTAAAACAGAACCAGTGTTAGACTGTTTCTACTTTTACTCATAGAGTGAATAAGTGTTCACTTCAAACCTGGGATCATCCCTCCAAGTCTCCTAAATACAGACTGAGTCAATGCAGTTAGCCCAGCATCACACTGTGCTATATCGAATGGCGCTGGTACTGCAGTATTCACCTTGAAATTAAGTAGGCAGAATTTTTTATTTGTGGAAGTCAACTAACTGCCAGGTTACACGGGCTTCATTCTTAAGTTATCACACAAAGTCACAACAGAAGACAAATACAGGCAGATACATAGCTCATTTACAAGAGAAACAAATTTGCAGTCAGAGACAAGGGCAATGTAACAGCCAGGAACTGCAGTAAATCTCTTCTAGCAAACAGCCACATCAAACAATGCTCTCTTGCAATACCTCTGATCAAACAGACTGTACTCAGACTTTACACAGCAAATCCACACGCATCCCTTAACATTTAAACATGATGCTTGCTAAGAAAATTCTAATTTATGATTTTTTTTCTTTTACTTCTCACGTGCTTCAAAGCTAGGATTACTGAGAATTACTATGCTTATTCAAGCATGCTAACAGAATTGGAATTTCTTTGCACCTCTCTGCATTATATAGTATATAAGCAAATGAATCATGCAAAAAAATATTTACCCCCAAAAGTTGTAGTAAAAGCTCAGCTTCCTCCAGCTTCCATAGCCCCTGAAGTGTTAACCTGAAGAAACAGTTCCATGAGTTTCCACAGGCCAGCAGTGAGTCTCCTACACTTGACCTAGACAGCATTACATAACGAAGCATCAGTGCTAGGGAGCTTGCTGAATGTCATCACCAGCAAGAGCAAGAAGTATTGGCAGCAGCAGGCAGGCAGGCGGGCTGGGAGTTTGCATGGAAATCATGAACTCTTTCTTGCCTTTCTCTTTTGAAATGCTTTGGGAGGAGAGTTAAGAATAGAGCAGAAACTGGTGTCTCTCTCTCTTTCTCTTTCTCTTCCTGTCTGTTTATTTTTTATTTTTTGCGTGTGAAGAATGACCAGAAGCATAAAAGCTAAATCTTCCAGCAAGTGCAAGACATTTCCTTGGTATTTGCAGTAAACCTAACAGGATGAACTGCTGCCTGTAAAATCTTATGCCAAAATACCCAAAAGGAAGGGGATGGGACAGCAAAGTGATAGCACAAAGGCTGCCTCCGAGAGCTTTTGTCTACCTTTAACTCATTGTGGTGAGTAGAGGGCAATGTATGTTGACAGCGTGAAATGTTAGTTGGGAGTGTGAATTGTTTTGCACGATGGTACCGAAGTATCTGCAAAGACCATTCATGTTCCTTAAACACCTTTTGGCAAGCAGGATGATGACATTTTTAGTCTTGTACCTCAAATTCAGAATGTGGTAGGTTAAACTGATTGTGCTTAGTGCATTTTGACTTCTGAAATTTACATGCTGATAATAAGAAAAATGGGTGCCTATCTCTACTGGCTTCCAGATAGAGTTAATGGATTACTTCTATTGTGTATACCTGAAAATAAGATCTGAATTCCAGCATCAGATTTTAAATAAAGAAACTCATTTTGTTTTAGATTTTGAACACAATTTCTCAGAATAGATAAAAAGGGATTACTGTTCTTTGGAGGTAATCTTTGCTGGATTCGCTCTGAGCCATCTGGGGAATACTTTATACAGCAAATTAAAAACAGTGTACTCTCAAGCTAACTTTCAATTATCTCAAATGTTTGCAATACAAGTTACACTCTTAAGAGCTAGAAATAATAAATTCAGTCCTCTCTTCTGATACGATATTATTAATACAAGCAACATTATATTGTTTAATTATATATAAAATTGTGGTTTTATATGGGTGTGGGTGAAGACATATTATTCCTGAGGCAACAGAAATAGAGAAGCCATGCATCATTTAAAAATAATCTTAATGTTCTGCTCTTAGCTGGGAAGCGTTCTGCTAATGCATCACACTGAGGACAGAGTGAGGAAACAAGAGAATTTAGGTGTACAGAGGAACACGATGATCTAATTCCATCTCCTCGTGGAACTCAGACAGAAAATGAAGTGCATAGAAGGGAAATGGTGGGCTTAAGCTGACTCAGAGCAAGAGGTGAGTGGACGGCGGTTTTCCTCAAACTTTCCCAGTGTTCTGCAGTCATACTACCATAAATAATTGTCTTTTAATATTGGAGCAAAGGCTTAATGCACAGTAAGTTTTTATATCAGTCATAGAAATGACAGAAAACAAAGTGGAATTGCACTAAATATCTGTTTTTTGGCATCAGTCTGATTTTGGAAAAACAAGCTCTGTAGCTGAGGGAATGAGAATTTATTTCCCACAACTATGAATAAGAAACATATTGGTGTGGCATTTAATGAAACCCTCACATTATGAAATGGTATTCTGAACATTAAGTGAAGTAAACCATGATTATGTTTCAGATGGTTTTATTTTGTTAATGTTGATTGTGTTGCTAAGTGTCCTATCTCTTGGAGAACTATTGCAAATGAAATAAACAACTCATGGGAAGCAAGGAATTGGAAAGTAGAATGTTTTTATAAAGATCCTCTTTCAAACAAACTTAGCCTCTTGCAGTTAGGCACTGTTTTTTATCCTTGCATCCCTTTTCCTAAGGAAGTGCTTAACTGGTTTGGGGTAAATGTTACATGAAAAAATGCAGGAGTGATAAGTATTTGTATTGTGTTCAAATATGGAAACTGGATCTACCATGACCTAGTAGAAGTCTTTAGAAGAGTCACTTTAAGTAGTGTAAGAATGTTTAAAAAATGATATTAGCTTTACTAATTACCTAAGTAAATGAATATTTCTGAAATACTTATTTGGAAACTTAAAAACTTTTTTAGTATTAGACAATTTGACATAGGTTGGTTGCTCATAAGAGATTGTTTGGTGTTCACTAGAGTAATCAAATACTGTATAAGTTTTCTCTTTCTGTAGGGTCCTTAATTCTGGAGTACTTCAGAGCAAGGCTGGCAGACTCATTGTCTTTAGAAGTCTAAACTCATTTTTCTTTCCTTTAATCATCGTTAGCCCACTACTTCCATTATCCTATCTGTTTGGTTTTGGTTTTGGTTTAGAGGTGCTGGAGATGGAACCCAGGATCTCATACTTGCAAGGTTATGCCCAGTGAGTTATACATCTAGCCTCTATCCTCTTATTTGTGACCTCATGGTCTCAAGATAGCTCCTCCATATCTAGCATAAGGACTACATTCCAGGCAAAACAATACGAAGAATACAAATCATAAGGAATGAACCAACTGAATCAATTCTTTTTCAAGAACTTTTCCAAAAAATGACCCATAGACTGACTTACATTTTATGGTTCTTAACTGTGGAAAATGCCCAGGAATAATTGTGTATTTTAGCTAAGCCCAATGCCACCCCCAAATGAAGCCAAGTTCTATTTTTAAGACAAATGTGACACTTCCTTTAATATGTAGTTTTGGTTGCTAATAAAATCCTAAAGCATTCACCATGATCAAGGTGTCTAAACTGGTTTATATACCTAAAATACAAAAGGTATTTTGTTTTACATCTGAACATAGAATGTTACTTGGTTAACACATGGGTCTGTGAACACAGAGTGGTCAAATGAATGCAAACAGCAAATTACAGACAGAATTTTCAAAACAAAAAAGGAGAAAACAGTTCTTGCCCTGTTTCACCACCCTCCATTCCTCCCCTCCAATAAATTGGTATAAAGTAATTTATTCCTAAAAAGATTTTAACTATGGAAGAATAAACATATGGTAAATTAACACACCAACCCACAGAATTTCTATAATTACTAAGCAAAATGAGGTCTCATTAATTTAGAAAAAGGGACCCCTATGAAGGATTTTTCTGCTGTAGCTGTTTTCTTGCTGAAATCAGCAACACTGACTGGCATGTGGATCCTCCTGGCTGGCGTATGGAAGGATTTTATACATTTTTCCAATTTGGTTTCAAGAATGCTTCTCCAGAGCAGAAGCCATTCTTCATACTGGGACAAGGAATAATACTGATAGTTTGGAAAGGACCTTAAGCAAGAGAGCTGCTCTATCCAAACACTTTAGATTTGCTGAGAGTTTCTGGAAAGACTTGATATACTTTTTCTAATTTTAGAGGTAAAAATGATGTTCTTCTTAATTTCTATTATACCTCACTTTTCTATAGAAGGTAGTTGACTTCTGAATCTAAGTCATGATTGCCTATTCGGAAACAGTTGCACATTTCACCAGCTCCTACTTCACTGAAAAGCCAGAGTAGAGTTTACATTTTACTCTTACAAGACACAGGTAAGGGAAATTCTGTGCAAAACATCAGACTTAATTCAGCTTAAAACAGCAAAATTAAAAGATATTTAGTAACCACCGGGTATGAGTTTTCTAAAGCACCAGTTCAAGGGAGAACACAACTACAACTTTCTCCATTTTTCTGTAAATTAGTTTCTAACAGCATACCACTTTTACTTAAAGGCAGAAAAGTAATTATTTCTGAGCCCACTCAGTCATTACAGTACATTTTCATTTATTTGAGATTTAACTCAATAAAATGGAGTTTTTAACTTTGGTATTCATATTATTTACAGTAACATTGCCTTTGGCACCAATATACATCAAAGTCTGTATAGTTTAGCACAGTGAAATTGTATTTCTTACACATGGAGAGTTCTTTAGTTGTTCCTGGTTGGAAGATGGAATCCATGTGATTATTCATGGATTCAAGACCTTTAGTGTTGTGGCACCTCTTACCTGTAGATGTTCAGAGTCGGTTGACAGAAAGAAGAGCTCATGAAAAATATTACCTATCTCTTCAGACCAGGAGTGATGCTTACGACTTGCTTGTTTCAGTAAGAAATAGTCACATAATCCCATCTAAATGTAATGGAATGGCAAAAGGTGTTTTCTGAAGCCCGGCAGCTCCTTCCTAGAAAGGAGAGAATGACTGTTTGCGATCACCAAGCTACTTGTGCCTACTCTTCATCTTTGCAGTTGCAGGTTTGTTTGGGGGGGCATGTTTTTGTCAATTACTTGTCTTCTGAGATCAAATTGGAGAAGAGAGAGAAGACAATATGTGTGTTGGGGAGGGAGATTTCTATCTGCATTGGTGGTACAATTGATTTTATTTCGCACCTTAAAATAGGATTGCTTCCAATTTCTTCTGCTCACACAGACATAATAATTTTAATAAAGATTTCTAAATTTCTACATTATAGTGCTTAGAATTTAGATCTCTTTTGAATCTTAACTTACATATTATAGGTTGCTGTATTTTCAGGTACTACAGGGAATATGACTCATCTCCACAAACCTTAAAAGCATGTTTTCTACTACTCATTTTCACAATACAATTCAGCTACAATTCAGCTAACACCTTGGCTTTCATTTCTGCAGAGCAGCAGGATATAATAAGGAGCAAAAAAGATGGAAAGCATGTGTTAGGGAAGCAAATTTCTCATAAATTCTTAACAGACATTTTCCTATGTCTCACTTGTCACATTTACGTGGCTACTTGTGGAAGTAAGGGAGGAGGCTGGTGAAAGGTACTATTCAAAGTGGGCTTATAGATGTTTCAAAGAAAATTCATTTCTCTTAGTGCTGCAGGTCACATGTAGACATCCTCCAAGAGCCTCATGTGCTCGAAGGTAGGGCTTCTGAGGATGATTGAATTATTGAAGTGCTACAGATGACTTCTGGTAGGAGGCAGGGATTGTATAGAGGTGATGGGGAGACCTGGGTAGGTTCACCATCCTCCCTGGTTCCTCCCTTCTCTCAGCTTCCTGGCTGCCACGACGTGAGCATCTTTCCTCACTCAGACCTTTCCACCATGACCCCTGCCTTGGAGCCAGCCAACTATGGACTGAAACCATTGAAAAATATGAACCAAAGTAAACCTTTCCTCCTTTAAGTTGTGGGTGTTAAGAATTGTGTCTCAACCTTGAGAAAGTTATTAGTAAGAAAGAAGGGGAAACGGAATATATAACAGCCAAATAACACCACCAATCTCCAGTTCCAGGAAGTCCTGGGTTGAATCCAAATAAGTTATGAAGGATATTTTGAAATAATGGATAAATAAATTAGACATCAATAAATGTGGTGTAGGGGCGCACAGCAGTAATCTCAACACTCTTGGAAAGTCTTTGGCAGAAGGATGGCAAGTTCAAGCCCGCCGTGGGCAACTTTGTGATTTAGCAAAACACTGTTCCAAAATTTAAAAATAAAAGCTAAAATAACTGAGAATACAGCTCAGTGCAAGAGCCCTCAGTTCAATCCCCAGTGCCGAAGAAGAAGAAGGAGAAGGAAATGCTTTCCATACCTGGAGCAGGTATGTTTATGATTAGTGCAACCGAGTCCGTGTTGAAATTGACTAGAGTGAGGCCCCCTCAGTCCTTAGAAGTAATGATCTGAGGAACCAGAAACCAAGAGATAATATCCTAAGGAACAGGCAAAAATATTTGGACTGGAATAATCCCACAGTCTAAAGTCTGGTTTGTCTACCTAAACATATGGACAAACTGCAGTTTTGAAATAAAAAGAGATTCATATAGTTGGGGGTATGTGTGAGGATGGAATGATGGGTGCCTAGGGAGGAGGAAGATCCAGGCATTCAAAATTTGTGCTTTCTAGCATTTTTCTTCTTTTCCAAGCTGTTGCTCCCTGGTGGGCCTTCAGAACGTGCAGGCCAGGGAATTCCCCTGTGCTTTGGATTATCTCTAATATAACCCTGAAAGCTCAGCACAAGTGCGCAGTCTTCTTTTCCAGGATCCCCTATTTCTAGCCAACCTTCACATAGTTGGTTTTGCCTGGGCACTCCCTTCTGCACCTATAGGTGATTCTGCAATTAGACTGAGAAAAAAAGAGACTTTGCTTTCACAATCATTTATTTTGGCCAATGTCCCAATCTCACTGAATTCCTTGGAGACATGAGAAGTGGACATGCTATTTCATTACTCTGTGCATATGCTCAGGCTATTTTTGTTGTCAGCAGAAAATCTTCTCTCACCCCAACCACCCCTGCTTCACCATCCAATCCTCAGTCTTTTCCCAAAGGCAGAAGGATACTGATACACTAATAATGGTGGTGACAACTGTGAGTCTCAGGGGC